GGCTGAAGAGATGTCTCAGTGGTTAAGAGCACTGGCTGCCCATGCAGAAGACCTGAGTTCGATTCCCAGCACCCACATGGTGGCTAACAACCTCCTGTAACTCCAGTTCCAAGAGAATCCAATACTCTCTTCTGACATCCGTAGGCATTGCACGACATGGGTGCACTTACATACATGAAGGCAATACACTCATACACATAAAATAAAAATAATAAATAAAAGGCCAGGCATGGTGGCACATGCCTTGAATCCCAGCAGTAGGGAGGCAGAGGCAGGTGAATCTTTGTGAGTTTGAGGCCAGCCTGGTCTACATAATGAGTTCCAGGACAGCTGGGGCTACAAGGAGACCCTGTCTCAAAAAGACAAAAATTAACAAGAAATTTACTTTAAAAAAAAAAGACTGGTTGACTCTTCTATCTAGAGAGCTACCAGAAAAACAGAAACAAGCAAGAAAACTATCAACAGTTATAAGACTCCCCAAAACTTACTGTGTTAGGAATGGCCTTCAAGGATGAGCCCACAGTGTGGCTCTCTCAAAAACAGCTCTCAATGCCTTCCCTGTTCCACAGAGCCTGGGGGCAGAGAGGAAGGGCCTGGGTGGCCATTGTAGTTTCTTCTGGGTGTTCTGTGTATATATCTAGCTGCTACCATCCCATTCTCCACTCTCTCCTCTTCCCTGAATACAAGAACAAAGGAAAGTTTGGGAGTCTGAGAAGCTAGTGTGCTGGCTTTATGTCGGGACTGAGGATGCTGTATGAGACAATGCCCAATTTCTAAAGCAAGCAGAGTCACTTGGTCCACAGGGTCAAATAAAGGCCAGACACATGTACCCTGTATTAAACAACTTAGCAGCAATCTCTGAGGCTGGCAATGTATACCAGAGGTCATCAGGGAGGCCTTGGCCACTTGTTTTAATTGTGGGAGATGCCTTTCATGCATATTCAATTTCTCTCTGTAATTTATCACTTCTCCAGGTGCCCGAAGCATTCTACTTCACTTCACCAGCCCTGCACCTCCAAAGGGACTTTGCAGAAATTAAAGATGACATTGGACTTTTATGTCTCCCTAATTCAGGAGAGGCAGCTGAGCTTCCCATAAATGTCAAGGCTCTACTGTTCCTGATCCTCCACAGTGGGAAATATGGTTGGACACTGAGGGTCTAAACCATCTACAAATGAAGTAAGCTTTCTCAGGTCCACGACCCCCATGATATTTTCATCAGTCAGTTTCCTTTAAAATCCTTTACTCCCTTGAAGACCACAGCCATGAAAATGATGACCTGTTTGTTGGCACTCAGATCAGGAGTCTGAAATAAGTACCTTGAAAGGCAATGACAGCAAGACCTGAAGGGTACCTGCTCCTGGATGTTTTCACTGAGTATAGTGGCCCAGCTAACCCACACTTGGCCACTGTTGTTACCACCACTGTGGCTTTGAGGGCTGAATGCTGAGGCCCAAGGTACCCTGTATGCCCACTCAGCTGGACTGCTGAATTTGCTCCCTAACTAAAGGGCTCAGATGCTAGGAACATGTGGTTGCTCTCTCTGAGAATGAAATGAATCCTGGTTCCCCAGGGTGGCTTTTGATCACTTGTGCCGCTGAGTCAGATGCAAATGCCAAACCAGTTGCACTGATCATCAATCAGGAAAAGTAGAAATGTGGGGACATAAGAGAGGAGGAGGAGAAAAACATACCCTTATAAACACAAGCCAAACATGAGGAGCCAGAAAAGTAAATTCTGCTCTAAAAGTTTTCTACTTCTACGACATACCAATTAATACAGCCAATGAACATGCTCACAAGCAGTTGGGGTTTACATGTGGTAGCGTGGCAATGGTGCTTTCCTTTGTCCCTTATCACAGGTCCACAAGCAGATGTTTCTTTTCATATTGTTATTACTGTGTACCAAGTGCTTAATGTGCTTTCCCTCATTTAACCTCACAACAATCTTGGGTATCGGGGAAGATTTTTTTTTAAGACAGGGTCTTACTATATAGCTCTAGCCTGGAACTCACTATGTAGACCAGGCTGGCTTTGAACTCATAGAGATCAATTTGGCATTGCCTACCAAGTGCTAGGATTAAAGTGTGTGCCACAGTGCAGTGTCCAAAAGAGGATTATTTTTTTATTAACTTACTTTATTTTTGTGGTACTGGGGAACTAATATAGGATTTCATGCACCTAGCAAATGTGATCCCAGCCTATAAATATTTCCCCCTTTTATTTTTTTAGGCAGTACCTTGCTTGCTTTGTTACCCAAGCTCACTTTGAATTTGTGATCTTCCTGCCTCAGTCTCCTAAGTAGCTAAGTTTTATAGGTGTGCCTGCCTTGATTGATCTTTTACAGGTGCTGGATTTTTTGTTTTTTTTTTGGAGAGTCTTACTATATAGCCCTGGCTAGCCTTGAACTCACAGAGATTCGCCTGTCTCTGCTGGGATTAAAGGCGTGCACTGACATACCTGGCGAGGATGCTGTCTGTTAAGAGAGAGTAAGAACTATTGAGAAAAGAACAAGAAAGCCCAGCCTCTTGACATTCAAGCAATTGTGGTAACCCCTAAGAATCCAAGCCCATTGAGTTAGCTTTGGTTTTTTCATAACCCTTGTGGGACCTGCTGAGATCATGTCCAAAACAGCTTCTTGGTGAGGCAGAGTACTAAAAGCAAGAAGAGAACATCTCTGAATTATAGTTAGTAAGACCCATTCCTTGAAATCTATGATTGAAACCTGTGAAAATTAAACTAAACAAAAACCAAGGCAGTTTGGACACAGATTAATGAGCTCTCAGGAGACTGGAAACTCCTAAAGTCACCACCAGCATTTACATCTCTCATCTCCAAAGTTCAACAGGCAGCTATGTCTTTGACATCAAGGTACCCACACTTCAAAAGCCAGGAGGGATACCTTTCTGCTAGGCTAGCATTGGCCAGTAGTGGGCATGATTTTAGAGCCACCTCTACACAGGCAGGTGGCCACCAGTTATGAGTACTGGCCACTAGCCATAGGAATTGCCAATACCTAGAAAATGGAACATGCCTCAAACTTCTTCTGCAGCAAAACTCACTATTTAGTCTAGAGTTGTTGAGCAAACCCATTATATTATAAGCCAAGTTTAAGCTTTTAGTAACTCCTGGTTCAGTCTACAATTCTTGATTATATAGAGTCTAGCAAACTGTTTTGAAAACAAGCTCACATCAAGATATTAATGTGAATGAATGAATGAACAAATGTTACCATACAGATACTTGCTGCTTGATGATTGGGGCATGTTTTGAGAAATGTGTTGTTAGATGATCTAATCACTAAAGGAAAAAAAAAAAAAATCACAGAATGTGCTTTTTGTTGGTTTGATGTATCCCTGACTGGCCTGGAACTCATGCCTAGACCAAGCTGGCCTGGAACTCACAAAGATCCACCTGCTTCTGCCTCCTGAGTGCTGGATTAAAGGAATGTCCTACCACACCCAGCTAGAATATGCTTTTTACACGAAACAAAATGGCTGCAATGCACCACCACTGCATATTCAGTCTACAATTGGCCAAAAGTCACTATGGGGTTCACGGCTGTATGTTTAAGAGCTATAAGTTTAGTTGACTAAAAATGAAACTTCCATTGTCTGTAACAACTCAGAACTAATGATCAAAATTAGGACCCTAAAGAATGTAAACACTCTGTTATTACATAGAATGATGAACCTGTACCCAGGGGAAACTGTCTAATTACATGCAGGGAACATTTGATGCACTGGCTTAAACAAATTAGGATTTTCTGCTTGCCCCTGTGTTCCCCAAAGTTCATCAAACCACAGTAGATCCACCTGGGTACTATAGGGATCACCTGGTCTATCCATTCTAATGTCCTGCTCAGAGCACACACTGCATGGTGTTGGTAATAAGGTAGACATGAAGAAATAGGAGCCCATCCAATCAGGCTCAAATCACAAATTAGTGTTCATACCATGGATTCTTGGAAACGCTGACAGCTCTCATCCACCCAATGAAAGATCTATCTGGGACTTTAATAGCTAAGTTTCTTTGCTGAGATGATGAGCAAAAATGTGATCTATCTTCTGCCAGAGCTCCTGGGTAGAAGCTTCCAGAACTTCTACTTGACTGTAGTGAGGATTCCAAGGATACATCCTACACTACTGTTAGAAGGTGTCAGGCTCACTAGCATGGGTCTTACTGGAAATTAAGTGAGAAACAGAGGCAGGATAATATTTTATTATTGGGCAAAATAAATTTTCTCCATTGCCTAGGTAATCCTTCAATTAACTGGCTCAACAACCGCTGCTTGCTCATCTCCTCTGTGTCCACAATGGGACTTGTTGCAATGTGAGACTGATTGTACAGCTCCCTTCACGCTGTAGAGGGGCTGAATCCAAGGTGGCCTTTAACAGTACCACAGACAGCTCACTCAGACTGGTGTACAGATGCACCGGTGTTCTGTTTGCTGCTCTAGGAAAAGGAAAAGAAAGGGATATGCACAGAATGGGAAGCTTGAAGGGAAAATGAGAATAAGTAACCACACCCAGAAGTCACTGGCTGTGATAAGTCTGCAGAGTATACCACCACAGGGTAAATGCGCTCTTGTGTGAGAGACACCAGTCTTAAAAGTATCAGAATTGGCCCCATTTCCATGCTACAGTTATCAATCTAAGAAGTACATCACCAAGACAAAGGACTTGGAGACGGACCTCATTGAACAAGAAGCCACGACCTTTCCCAGCCCAACAATAACACAAGATGGACAAAGCAACTGGTCCTGCAGCCCCATGACATGCTCTTCAGAATGAGGCAGTATTCTGGGCCCTGGAGGCTGGTCTGATCCCCCAGGGTAGATACTGCTCTCAGCCTCAAAGCATGCTGTGATCAGACCTGAGGATCCACTTGCCCTCAGGAGGGCTCTGTGGTCCGAGGACAGAGACAGGCAAGCTCATGCATGGGTTAGTATCACAGACGGCAGGACCATCACCACAGACAGAATACCTGAGAATAACCTACTTTGAGGACTCAAATGCAGATAGGTCTTCTGCCTTGGGCTTGAGGCTAAACCAGCAAAATAAAATGAAAAAAACAAAGACATACCCTGTGAAATCAACAATGCCACATGTGCCATTTGCAAAATGCTCAGAAATTGTGACAAGTGACTTCATGTATTTCAGTCTGAGTACTAGTCTCTCTGGCTTTGAGCACCCTATGCTTCTACGGCTAAGAATTCAGTTTACCGCAGCAGCAGCAGCAGCAGCAACGACTCAGGGTACCCAGGTGACAAAGAGGTAGGAGTCTGAGATCTGAGATTGCTCTCTCAGTATTGACTGGCTCACTGTTTTTATCTCTTTGCTTAATGGTGGAGGCATTTAACTTTAATTTACCCCACCTCCACCCCTTTTTAACGACAGGGCCTTATGTGGCCCAGGCTGGCCTTGGATTTGCGATGTAATTAAAAATGACCTTCAATTTCTGATTCTTGTGCCTCTTCCTCCCAAGTGCTGGGATTACAAGTTTGGGCTACCAGGACTAGATTTAACTCTCCATTTGTTAACTGTTTAATAATTTTGTTTGGGAGGGGAAACCCATGAAACAACAGAAGACAGAGAAAGATGGGTGTGGAATATGGAAAAGCCTTTCTTTTTAAGTTATGCTACTAAGAGGATTTCTCTAGCTGGGGCCAATTTAGCATGTTAAGAGGAAGAAGCAGGGGCTCCTTACTGTATCCATCAGTGATGGCAGAGAGGCACAGGTTTCTCAGGGTTTTCAGTGACAACTTAATCACAGAAAATAGAGGTGATCCTTAAACTGGAGAGCATTTTAAAGACTGACGTAAAGAGTAAAAACTTAACCAAATCAGTTGTTATCTAAACTCAAGGAATAGGAGACAAGGTCTTGCTCTGTAACCCATATTGGCCTTAAACTTGCAATCCTCCTGACTCTGCCTCTTGAATGGTAGGGTTACAACTGTGTGCCACCATGCCAATCACTTAATAACCTCTATTTTACAGGGGCAATCTGATTCTAGGCAATCAGTTAAAAGCAGAACATCAACTGCCCACAGAACCTTTCTACTTTACTCAAATAAGAGATATATACTCTTGGGATGATAATGAGTACTTACTAACTTCTAAATCCCTAAAATGCTGAGAGTTCTAAATATCAGGGGGCAAAGATGGGATAGCGAGAGCCTCATAAATAATTTTTTTTTTTTTTTTTTTTTTTGGTCTTTTTGAGACAGGGTCTCCCTGTAGCCCCAGCAGTCCTGGAACTCACTATGTAGACCAGGCTGGCCTCAAACTCACAAAGATCCACCTGCCTCTGCCTCCCAAATGCTGGGATTAAAGGCGTGCACCACCACGCCTAGCCAAAAACTCATTTTTTAAAAACATTAAGGTTCTCCTATACATGTCCCTTTAAGTATGAAAAAAGTTAAAAAATCAGAATATAACACAAAAAGACTAGAGGCAACTTCATTCAACAGCCTCTAATTCATTGTGCCTCCTCATTAAGTAAGGCAGCTCCTTGGGCATAAGTCCCATTTGCTTAAAAGACGGAACCACTTTAGTGCTCAGTGATGGATCAAAACCCATCCTTGAACAGGGATTCATCTCATCAGAGCTTTTAACACAAGCTCCGCTTCCATCAAGCCAATGGGTTCATGGTCATTGGCAGATTAAATTCCCTTTCTGTCAGGAGCTGAAAAATTCCCTCAACTAAGTACATGTGGAAAAAAAAAATGACAGCAGTCTAATGAGTCCGCTTCTGAGGAAACCAGATGCCAACCTCACATTTCATTAATGAATGTCCTGATCAGTAAAACTCAGGAGACTCCAGGTACCTTTTTAATGGTATTGTGCTTGCTGCTGGTACCACCTCTATCTGAGTTCTCATTGTGCAGGATGTCCAGGGCCGTTTCCCTCTCTTTAAGTTTCAAGGCCTCAATTTCCGTCTTGAGTTCATTGAGCTGCTCTTGCAGATGCTTGCTCTTCTCCATGTACTCCACTCTGTGGCAAGAGGACACTGCATCAGGCTAGGCAGACACTAAGGCATGGCTGAGATGCTCTGTAACCTACAAGCTGCTCAGTGTCACATCCAGGAGCTGAAGCTTGGGGTTTATATCTGAACTTGAACACTCAGAAGCCATGGGAACCTGAGCTGTTCGCTTAACTGCTATGAATCTCTTACCCATCAGTGTAACTGGGATAATGATTGCAAGGCCTCTGGTCAGGAGGAAATAAAATGTAGGAAAGAAAGCCTTGTGTAAACTCTCAAGAGTGCTCTACAAATAAATAACCATGTCACAGACAGCTTTCAGTTTTGTATGAAAAATCACATCAAATAAGCTTCCTGAACCCCACTCTCCCTGGCTCCACCCTTCCTGAAGCAGTATATCAAGTGATTTCTTCCAGTAGGCCACACTTACTCTCCCACTTATTCTGAAACTTCATCTCCTAAAGATGACAGATGCTCACTCAGTCAATACCAGGAAGAAAAAGGCTCCCTGTTTACCTACAAGTGAATATAAGGAACCACGGCATGTAGGATGCAGAAGATCTGGAATCTTCCCACGAAGTGTTTAACTACAAGAGCATGACCCATAAGACTATGCAACAGAATATGAAAAACATTCTGAAGAGGTCACTGCAGCTAACTGTTTCCTCTGCCAGCCTGTACAGGGAAACATTTAGCTATGGGCTGAATATTTGTGCTGACCCCCTTCACACACACCAATTCATGTTTCAGTCAATTCACCAATGTGTTAGGAAGTGCCATCAGTAAACCAGGCTGAAGACTCTCACCAGCCTCTGAGCTGACAATGCTTTGACCTTGGATTTCTAAGGCTCCAGAACTATGAGAAATAAATTTCTGTTGTTTATAAGCTTTCCAGCCTCTGGAATTTTGTTATAGCAGCCAAACACATAGTAAGAAAATACAAACTATAAAAAAGCAAGACACAGAACAGGATGTAGCCTTACCCTGATCATAACCACATAAATATGTACATCTGGACAAGGAAGGAGAAACGAATTCAGAAAGCACATGCTAACAAGAGCAGTTCTGGGGCATAAGCTTCTTAGCTATCCCCTCAGTATGAGGGCCCAAAGGAAAATAGCCTGGTTCATAGAGGCCCATGTTGGATTCCCAAGGAGGCACTCTCCAGAGAGCTACCCTCAGAGCACCACACAGGAGTAAGGGTTTCAACTCTTGCTCTGCTACTCATTAGCTATGTGATGCTGGGTCTACCCTCATTTATACAAAGAGAACACTAAAACCTACTGTTTTTTGGAGACAAGATGTCATGTAGCCCAAGCTGGCCTCAAACTTGTCATGTAGCCAAAGATAATCTTGAAATTCTGATCCTTCTGCCTCCACTTCCTGAGTGATAGAATTACTCGTATGTGTCACCATTCCTGATTTACACTGTGTTGGAGACTGAACCCAAGGTAAGCAATTTACCAACTAAGAGCACCCTTTTTCTTTTTGAGATAAGAGTCTCCCTGTAGCCCCAGCTGGCTTTGATCACACAGAGATCCACGTGCCTCTGCCTCCCAAGTGTTGAGATTAAAGGCATGTGCCACCATGCTCCACTTCTAAAACATACCTCTGATGCCAGTGTGATGTTTGTTAATTAGTAGTAATTAAATAAGCAAATGCTCAAAAGCCCTTGCATAAAGGTGCTCAACCCTAGTGCTGTTGTGATTGTTGTCTGTGAGCTATGGCATTATTAACAAGTTTACTTGTGGCTTAGTGAATGAGTTGGACATTAGATTCTTATACAATGAGACTCCTGTCTACCTCGGCTCCACTTCCATGGACCACAAAGTAGAGGTGGAGAACACTTGGCAGAAGTGCTGTGGTCAGGCTAGGTTGAGCTCCACTCAGGACTACCAACATAGCAGAACCAGCCCCACCTGGCTTCTGGCTTTGCTCAGCCTGGAGTCCCAGTTTCGTTTGTTGTTGTTGTTTTCTTTTTCACCTTTACTACTAAAGAACATGATCAGGAGAACTGTAGTCTAACTGTAGTCTAACTGTAGTCTGACTGATTTAGAGACCCCATGACAACCTGGTCCTATTTTTCAGTCAAGGTTTTAAGCAACTATAAATTCCAGGCCACCAATCAAGAATTATTTAAATAGTCTTCGGCTACTGACTGCCATTCCGATTTGTTATCTTTAATTTATAATTAGGGAACTTGTCCTCTAGTAGGTGACAACAAAGCAAACCTTTGCAGAGTTTGACCCTCTGTGTATCCAGGTCAGATCCACTCACTCATGTTCACACGCAAGCCACAGAAGGTACATACTTTTCTTTCTCTATCTCCATGGAAAGTCGCTTCATGTCAGTATCCTTGAAGTCAAAAGACAGGCTATCACCAATGAAGTCGAAGCTCGGTATGTCAGGAGGCAGTGGTGCTGGGATTGGGTTCATGGGCTGTCAGCGAGAAAGCTCTGATTAGGAGGTTCAAATTATGCAAGACACATAATGCTGCCAGGTAAGAAATCCCAGAGCATCCAAACTCAGGCAAGTCACCCTTCTCCCCTCAAATCTAATCATTCCCATACTCACTTGACTCAAACACAAACTCCCATTTAGTTTTCATTTAGGAAACTCCCAGGCACTGTACTAGGAGCTAGAGACACAGAGAACAAGACAAGATTCCCTGGCTCTGGACAGTTGAAAGTCTTGTTTAGGAAGCAGATGTGCTCGCAAATCCTCATAGTTAAATAAGGTAAACATTAACCAGGAGAAGAACAGAGGCTTGGGAGGCAGGAGGAGGTCTGCTAGGGTGCTGTTTCCACTAGAATCAGTTAACAAGCCAGAAGAAGAGTGCCAAGCAAGATATGGTAGGGGGCAGGGCAGAGAATACCCAACAATGTCCTCCTGTGGGAGGTGGACAGAAGACTGGCCTTGGATAAGAAAGGCTTAGCTGGCATGTTAGGGGACTTGGATTGGGAAATCAGCCAGGTGAAGGCTGGAAGTAGAGGGTGAAGTCATTGGATCTGTTTCTAGAACTTTCCCATCCTTGAACAAAAGGTCACCTAAAATACAGCCCCAATCTACCTCCTTGGTGTCCCCCACTATTTGCCCTATTAAATCATAAACAGTACTGCTTTCTATCCCTTGGCCCACATTGCTGCTTTCCCACCTCTGTACATACCCGTGTCCCTTCTTTCATGCCTTCCTTCCTTCCCTTTCCCCTACCTTCTCTTTCTTACTTTCTCTTTTCCTGTCTTTTTTTTTTTTTTCGTGGTATTAAGGATGTGCATGTTAGATAAGTACTGTACCACTAAACTATATCCCCAGCCCCTCTGTTTCTTTTTCTTTTTTTTTTTGGAGACAGGGTCTCCCTATAGACCCAGCTGTCCTGGCACTCACTGTTTAAACCAGGCTGGCCTTGAACTCACAGAGGTCTGCCTGCCTTTGCCTCCCGAGTGCTAGTGCTAGGACTAAAGACATTTGCCACCACTCCCAGCTCAGCCCCTCTGTTTCTTTTCTTTTTTTTTTCTCCTGTTTTTTTGAGACAGGGTCTCCTTGTAGCCCCAGCTGTCCTGGAACTCACTATGTAGACCAGGCTGGCCTTGAACTCACAAAGATCCGCCTGCCTCTGCCTCCCAAGTGCTGGGATCAAAGGTATGTGCCACCACACCCAGCCTTAGCCCCTCTGTTTCTTATTTTCATTTTTGTTTTGTTTTGGAAATAGGTTCTCTCACCACATAGCCCAAGTTAGGCTCAAATTGCTGATTTTTCTACCTTAGCCTAAGTATGTGGACTGCAGGTGTAGGCCACCATGCCCAGTAAGTTCTTCAGTTCTCTTGCAAGGGTCTCAACTCTTTCAATCTCTTACCAAAACCTTTCTATGTTCTGCTAAATGGCTGCTTTTCTGTGCTGGACTATACATGGTGTGCACAGTTCTGCAATGAGTCTTTTCTATAATTACAGACTTTTCTATAAAGATTCCCTTCAAGTTATATTTTCTCCTTTCTATATCTACAAACTTCTTGAGGGCAGAATATGCCTCTTTTTCATCTTCAGATCTTTTACTGAGTCTAGGATAGTCTGGGAAAAAGCAGAACCTCAGAACTTTTCCATTCATCAAGTTGTACAGGTGTAATTTAGAGACATCTCTTTATGGTTCTTACACTTCATAAAAACCTCCAAAAAAGAATACTAACACCTCTGTTGAGAGCAACTGACACAACCCCTTTGCAGGACATCAAAATTGAACATCTGATCCCACAGTTCTATTTACAAGAATTGATTCTACCAATACTGTTTAGTGTATATAAAAGTATGTGTTCAGGGATGTTCAGTGCAGTTATGTTCAAAATTGCTTAAGAAAACAGACTACTAATCTAGAGGCACTGGCTAAATGACTTATAATCCATCCATCCATCAAATGTGATTAAAAGGCTGGGATGATCTGCTCTAGGACACATTTCTTTTTCTTTTTCTTTTTTTTTTTTTTTGGTCTTTTTGAGACAGGGTCTCCCTGTAGCCCCAGCTGTCCTGGAACTATGTAGACCAGGCTGGCCTTGAACTCACAAAGATCCCAAAGATCCACCTGCTTCTGCCTCCCAAGTGCTGGGATTAAAGGCGTGCGCTACCACCCCCAGCTTAGGACACATTTCTAAAGGAAAGCAAAGTAAGATTTTATAAAGTTTGTTCTAATGGATGCTTTCAGTGCATATGTACCTCAGGGACACAGCCCAGTAGAGCCCTCAGAACACCCCAATCCCAGCTGTTACCTGACTATGACCACCTGAGAGATCTTTTTTTGTTTTAGTTTTTTTTTTTTTTGTTTTTTTGAGGCAGGGTCTCACTATGTAGCCCTGGCTGGCCTGGAACTCAGAGATCTGCCTGTTAGGATTAAAGGTATGCACTACCATACCCAGCTGTCTGAAAGTTCTTAAATGAGGGCATCAGCCCAATCAAAGTATCGTGCCCCAGAGACAATAATAATGGCTGTTTAGAGTCCCACAGTTGGCTTGGGGTAATGTTATCCATGAATAGGTAACAAGGATACACAGAAATAGCAAGCTACTCACATTTCTTCAACTCAAACCCTGGGCACTCCTTATGTCTCTGTGCCCTGCATGTCTTTATGCCATATGTGAATGGATCATGTACACAAATGTGCAAGGTATGTGTTTGTGTTATGTATATGAATATAGAGCATGTGTGCACTGTATACCTAAATGAACTATGTGTTTGTGCTGTGGATACACTATGTTCTTGCCTAGAATATCCCATTCTCTCTTCCCTGCACAACTAATCCCTGTTCCCCTTCAAAAGTCAGCCATACAGAGCCTTTCCTGCTCCTCCTGAAACTGAACTATGTTCTAGGTGCCTGTGTGCACCTGTCTAGACAGAGATTTTCTATTAATGGTATTATGTGGTCAGTGAGCAAAAAACTGCAGAGTGGAATGTACAGAGGAAAGGAAGGGAAACAACCTTTGTGACCCCATTTAATGGAAGTCAGCTTCCCTGTCCCCAAGCTGAGGCTGTCAGCTAGTTCTGGCACAGCAGTGATTCACTCTGAGGTATACAGTCAGTCCCTCACAGAACTACATTTATGACATATGGTATATACTGACAGCTAAAAATTACATGTTGCTTGGCATTAGGGGGCCAGACAGCAAATTCTCTTGAGACCATATTACTTACAAACATTCCAGAGCTGGAAAAGGCCCCATAGTCTGTTATCTAGGTTACCACAGAGGTAACTGACTAGTCTAAAGCTAAATGGCAGACCAGGAGGATCCTACCAGGCCGTGACTTTAGACTATGTACACCACTTGTTTTAACCTGCATTACTTGAACGGTCACCCTGACACTGTCAGGTAAACTGCAGCTGGGAGGGTTAGGAAGTTGCCAGATCCTCCAATCACAGGCTGTCAAATTAAGCCCAAGCTTACTGGATATGTGGGCTTGGTGGCAATTTCCAGAAGCTTCTGTTTCGCTCGTCGCTCTGCTTCACGGGCTTCTTGCAGGTCTTGCTTCAGCTGATCAGCCTCCTTGGCCCTGTGAATAAAGGAGATGTCAGTTCCAGAGAAGAGGACAAGGAGAGGGAAGAGACCTCTACCTTACCCCCCAGATGACAGAGCTAGATTAATCCTGCTAAACGCAGTCTGTGGATAAGCTCAGTGGTTTTGCCACAAACTCCACCATTAGAGGGACAGGGGATAATAGAGAAAAGCTTCAAGGAAATGGGTACTTAGTTCCCTTCAGAAGTAAATAACTACTATCCACCTGAAAAAAAGGGAAAAGAACCAAGCTCTGTGTGTGTGTGTGTGTGTTATAGTTACATACTCATGTGACTGTGTGCAGGTTCATGGAAGCCAGGGGTCAAAGTGGGGATTTCTTCCTCAATTGCTCTCCATCTTAGCTTTTTATTTTTTGAGATGGGGTCTCTCACTAAACCTGGTGCTCACTGATTCAACTAGACAAACTGGCCAGTGAGATCCAGGAATCCACCTGTCTTTGCCCTTACCCCGATCCCCTGGGTTGGGGTTACAGATATATGCACTATGCTCAAGTTTTATATGGGTGTTGGGGATACAAACTAAGGTTCTCATGCTTGTACAGAAGGTACCTTGCCAATTAAGCCATCTCCCCAGCCCCCTTTGTTTTAATGCAGAAAGAGCCTCCTCTCATCTCCTTAGCTAAAAGCAGTCTGTGGATATGCTCAATGGTTTGGCTGCAAACTCCATTATTAGAGGGACAGGGGGATGAGAAAGAACTATGTTCTATGCCCTCTAGTAGCTCCCACCCCACCAGCCTGTCAGGGAAGGAGTCTCATGGCCCTGTCCAATAATGGAGAAGCAGCTTGAGGATGCTGCAACCAGCTCTGCCTCAGGTAGGGTTGGTACCATGCAAGCAGTCCTTTACCAGGCCCCAGTGCCTAGGACAACCCCTCACCTCCTCTCTGACTCCTCAGCCATCTTCAATGCCAGCACTTCGGCCTCAAGCACCTTCTGCTCCATCAGGCGCTTTTCTTCCTCTGTTCGAATGGCCGTGGCCTTGATTCGCTGCATCTCTTGCTCAGCTTCTGCAGCCTTTTGTGCCAGGAGCTTAGCCTCTTCCTCTGTGATCTGGGCCTTTTCAGCCAACAGGTCAGCTGTCTCCTCAGACCGCATCTAGAGAGAAGAATATTCTCAGATAGTATAAGATCCAGTGCCTATCTCTCTACATCTGGCCTGCCCCACAAAGGGCAGCAAGAATTGGTCTCAATCTCCCTGGGCCCTGCCATTGAGAGACTACCAGTCTGTCTGACAACAGATGACATGCCACATCCTCCAACATCTTGTCAGGGTCCTTTAGGCTCTACCATATGGGACAAGGAAGAAAACACTTGGTAGGGAATGCATTGCAACTGACTTGCTTATGCTTGTAAGGGAGCAAAGCAACTCTGTTCTGTCTCGACTTTAAATCAGTAGTTCAAAAGCAGAAGAGTTGTCATGTCCACTCCTGTGCTGGAGAATCAAACACAAACCTCAGGTCTGGAAGGTTGGGCATAGCAGGTATGCCTTTAATCCAATCAGGTGAGGCAGAGGCAGGGGGATATCTCTGAGATCAAGGCCAGCCTGGTCTACATACATAGTGAGTTCCAGGCCAGCTTGGGGCTACAAGGAGACTGTCTCAAAAAAAACAAAAAAAAAAGTTCAAGGTTATATACTGAGTATAAGTCAAGCCCGGGCTACAAGAGGCCCTGTCTTCCCCAACTCTCACCGCCAAAATTTGAAAAATAATAAATAACAATGGGATTTTGGGGTATGCTAGGGAGGTACACTCCCAGTCTTGGGGACATTTTTGAGGTTGGGAAAATATTACTGGCACCTGGCAGGTAGAGGTAGGAACACTGCAACCATCCTTCAATGCAGAGAACAACCCAGATGATAGGTCCCAAGTGTCAGTAGTGCCAAAACCATGAATCCTGATTCAAAGGCAACTCTGTGGAGTTTTGAGTGCATATGAATTTAACCTAAATTTCCTTCTGTCAAACAGACAGAAAGAAAAGGCATCAGTATTTTTTTATTTTTTGGTCTTTTTGAGACAGGGTTTCCCTACAATCCCAGCTGGTCTGGAACTGGCTATGTAGACCAGGCTGGCCTTGAACTAAGAGATTCGCCTGACTCTGCCTCCCAAGTGCTGGGATAAAAGGCGTGCACCACCATGCCCGGCCTGGCATCAGTATTTTAATAACTGAAATAAATTCAAGGTTCTCAGGAGTTCTAACTCCAGAAGTCCCTGTGTAACCTCTGGGAGTCCCAACCCCTCAGAAATCACCAGAGCTTCATTGGCCATTGTTGCTTCTTCTTTCATCTGCAGCAGTCTCCTCTCCAACTCATCTCTGGTGCGTTCTGCCTCCTCCCGCATCTGCTTTTCTCGAGCAAGCCGCTGCCGCTCCATCTGGGGGTGAAAAAGAGCATATCCCAGTCACATCCAATTCCAAGTCACAGTGCTTCAGAGACCCAACAATGGTCAGGGTCTGTGAAACCTTTCCTTTGAGGACTTTTCTTATCTCTTCACTTTAAGCAGCCTGGGTCATTCTTCTTGTCTACTACCCTCTGTCCTTCTAAACTAGCTGCAGAATTAAAAGCTGTGCTCTTTGAAAAAAATTCTACCAGTGTTATAACAAATAACAAAACCCAAGCTCAGTCTCCACATGGAAAGAAGCATTCTTGCACAAAATATGCTCTGATCTTATTATGCTCCCATTATTTAGGAAACCTCACATGGCTCTGCCCTGTGGTTGGTGGTTAGTCATATAGGTTCCTCCTCTCCAAATTAGGGCCCTAGGAAAAACAGCTCCTTATCTGGTCAGATGAGCCACCCTGACGTTTCTAATGTCCACAGCCCTTTCACATGGTTATAACCATAATAGCTCCACATCTCCCTCTGTTAACAAAGAAGATGGGACAGTGTATTTCACAAGGGGAAGCTGCAGCAGCCACAGCACAGCCCCCATCCTAAGGCAACAGTACAAAGCCTCCACTGCCACTAGATTTCCTGGCCTTCAGGGATCACTGTGTTAACTGGGCCACCTGCTGAGCTTAATAAGGGGACCAAGACTAAGACAGTGTAATTCTCTGTGATTCTAGGGCATTAAGTTCAGAAAGCAGAAGTCAGAGATGATCAATATACTATTTTTCTGCCTTAAATAATGAAAACATGTTTAATTACTTCCTTCTTGCTTCAATCTCACTCCAACTCTAGTACCACAAGGCCATTTTTTCTAAATATGAAGCCCCACCCCAAAATGCATTGGAATTGAAAGAACCATGCAAAGAAGACAAGCAATAAAATCCTCTAAGTTCTTTGATCTCAGGGGACAGCTTGTCAATTTGCTCTTCAATTTCCACTAAATTACAATCTCCATCTCTATTATTTTCCTCTTGGAAAAAAAAGGGCCAAGTTGCCCCCTTCAGTTCCCAGCATTATTTCTCATAAGACTTTCACCTCAATAATAAAGGTCTTCTTATTTCCAAAGAAGTTTATTACTTACGAAGACTTCCACATACAAATGTCCCCTAAAAAGAGACATCACTAGCTCCACTTAATGGATGACAAAACTGAGTCACATACTCTAAGAGTCAGATTTGGCTCCAAGGTCACTATGTATTCTACTGGGCTGTGGTTTACTCTATTCTCTGCCAGGGCCCAGAGGCCTTCATTCTTCTTAAAGTTTTTAGGTCTAACTTCTAAGATTTCCTCTATTGAGAACGAGGTCAAAGAATGTTCTTGAAGTTGTCACTATGACCCCATGCTGGCTCAGTAGCATTTTTTTGTTCAACAGAACTTATTCCATCACCCATAAAGCATCCTAAAAAACACCAACAGCCTGCTGTCGAAGAAAACAAAGAGAGGGCAAGGTGACAGCTTACTGGGTCAAACTGGATATTTCTCTCTAATGCCCAGGGCTGGCCTCTCTGGGGTTCCCAAATCAGAGAACACCACAAAGACTAATTATTATACCTCTGAGCTTGTAAAGTCCTGAGGGCAGCCAACTACAGCTGCCGCTACTCTATCCAGCAGTTCATCCAAATACACAATTGATATTCTCAGTAGCAAGATTCAAAAATTAGTTGTGTAGATTTCAGTGAGTAGAGAAGGTCTGTGAGTAGAAAACAATGATGCAGCTCATCCAGTCTGTTGATAGGTGCTGCCAGCACCCCTGCAGCGGGTGATGTGTACCCAGGCTGACCTGCAGTGAGGAAGTGCAGCCGGAGTCTAATTAGCATTCCACAGCAAGCACTGAAATGTCACCATGTAGTCTATCACCACCTAATTAGAAAAGGCACAAGCCAGGCAGAAGAGACAGGAGGCAAAAAAAGAAGGACAACTAGATGGTCAGAGGAGAGCAAAGTCTGCCTGGGTACCTTGTCCCAAGTTTGTGATAATCATTTAACTTCACCGAAGTACAGAAATGATTAGAAATGCTTCTTTTAGATACACTATTAGAATTTGGTGCCAATTTCTCTTAAATGTTTTTATTATGTTTATTTATTTGTATGTGTGACACAGTGTACGTGTGGAGGTCAGAGAACAACTTTCAGAAGTCTGTTTTCTCCTTCTACCTTTATGTGGATTCCAGGGATCAACCGAAGGTCATCTGCCTTGCACAGTAAGTGTCTTTCCCTGTTGAGCTACCTTGCTGATCTTAAAACAATGTCTTAGGCTGGGCATGGTGATACATGCCTGTGATTCCAGCATTTGGGAGGCCGAGGCAGGAAAATTTGAGGTCAAACTAGGCTTCATAGAGAGTACCAGGTCAGCTAGGACTACAGAGCAACAAGATATTTAAAAAACCAAACAAATCAGGGACTGTAGAGATAGCTAGCTCAGTTGATGAAATTGTGGCTGTGCAAGCTTGAGTACCTGAGTTTGATCCCTAGTACTCATGTAAAAGGCCAGGTATGGAGCATGCTGGGGAGAGAGAAAAAGATGAACCCCTGAGACTTGCTGGCCAGCTAAATTAGCTTAATCAATGAGTCCCTGGTCCTAGTCTAGACCCTGTCTCAAAGGGCAAGGTAGATGGTTCCTAATGATAACCTCTGTCCTCCAGAAATAGGTACACACACAAACCAACCAACCAACAAAAAATGGTCTTTCTTACCTGCTTTCTAGCCTTCTCCTCCCTGGCCTGGGCTTTCATCTGCTGTACTTCTAAAGAGTCAGCCTTCCTTCTCCTCATAAACAGGTCATGGTTCCCAATACATAGCTGGAGAATCTGTGGCCAAAGATGCAGAAAAATGTTAAGCCTAAGAATTTACTTTGCTGCCTACCAGCGTACCATGCTACAGCAACCTGGGCTCTTGTGGGTGGCAGTTAACCTGAGAAAGAAAGAATGGAATAAAACACAGCTTCTGGTGCTCTCAGCTTTGGAAACATGCAAAATGGCGCTGCCTCAGATAAGTCAGGAGATACAATTCACAAGTCAAAAAAGGAGGCTTTATCATTATCATGTCTCCCAATGCACCTCAGTCTCCTAAGTCAAGATGAGGCATTGCAGATCAGGGAGGGCAGGAAAACCCAACCAGCAAGATGGGCTGGTCAAAGGGTTATTCATTTGGAAACAAACAAGCTGGTTCCCTCTCACTCACAACAAAAAATTGACTCCAAGAGGATTAAAGGCTTAAATGCAAACATAACTTTTATTAGAAAATATAGAATTTTTTTTTCTTTTTTTGGTCTTTTTGAGACAGGGTCTCCCTGTAGCCCAGCTGATCTGGAACTCAATGTTAGACCAGGCTGGCCTTGATCTCACAGGGATCTGCCTGTCTCTGCCTCACGAGTGCTGAGATTAAAGACATACACCACCATGCCTGGCACTTTGATTTTTTTTTTTCCCCTGCTCCCTCCCTCTGGCACTTTGATTTATATTTTGTAAATACTAATGAAGTTAAACATCTTTACTATTTATTGACCAAATCTAATTTTCTGTGCTGTTGAATTCTTGCTTTGTTTCTTTTGGCCATTTTCTAGGTTGTTTATTTTCTTTACTGATTATTATTCTTTTCCCAGTGTGAGGCTTGTTTTCCCTCTTTATTTATGATGTCATGACAAATACAAATTTTAGTTATAATGTTGACACATTAAAAACCTCCATCATGGCTGGACATGGTGGTGCACACCTTTAATCTCAGTACTGGGGAGGCAGAGGCAGGAGGATCTCTGTGAGTTCAAGGCCAGCCTGGTCTACATAGCAAGTTCTAGGTCAGCTGGGGCTATAGGGAGACCCTGTCTCAAAAAAATCAAAACAACCCAAACCAAAACAACAACAACCAAAAAAAAACCCTCAAATGCATATCAACATGGCAACTGGTGGGCTTGGGGATATACCTCAGTGGTAGAGTGTTTCCTGGTTTGCATAAGGCCCTAGGATTGATCTCCAGCCTCTGTTCCTACCCGCCCACCCCCACATTGAGGTTAACTCTGTAGGTTAAACTAAAAACTATCTCACTGGATATTGCTGACATTCATTTTTAAAAAGCATTCAATTTCTCAGAAAAGTTACATTATGAATCATGAAAACCAGGGTCTCAACTTACCAGCTTATTAACACGAAGCTTTGAGGAATTAAATTTGAAGACATCAATTTTCTTATCCAGTGGTTTAATGGTAAACTGAAAAAATGAAGTAGAACGGTTTCAGTGTGACAGCCTAGAATTTTGCCACCAATTGGGGAATTCCACAAAAGCAGCAGCAACACTGGCCCCCATCCAGCATGAGGCTATGCCTTGTCCTGGTGGCTTCCTGCTATCCAGGAATAAAGCCTTAGTTAGTTAGAGGCATCTGGGGTTTCAGAAGCTCATGACCCTAACCATCTTGGGTGGCTAGGAGGAAGGCATAGTTGGCAACCGGAAATTCAAACCCATAATGGGCCCACTCTAGAGGCCACTCTGGTAGAACCATGAAGTCTAAGGTACAATCTCTGCCTTCATAAAGCGCAATTGTAAAATTGAGTAGGAACCAGACTAACAACCAATTACTCCAGAAATAACACTATGCATTGGTGGTACATATCACAAATGTCCTGGAGGTTCCGAGCAGATCCAGCACAAAAGGGAGCAATTAGAGCTGGTCTTTGAAATATATGGCAGAATAGCTAAAAGGCAGGGTAGAGGGGCATTCTAGACAGGGCAAGGAATAGGGAATAAATTCAATCCCTAACATTGGGTGGGGAGAGCTGGCAAGTGGTGGCACACACCTTAACCCCAGTACTTGGGAGGCAGAGGCAAGTGGATCTCTGTGGGATCAAAGACAGCTTGTTCTATACAGTTTGTTCCAGGCCAGCTGGCACTATAGGGAGACCCTGTCTCAAAAACACAAAAACAAAAACAAAAAACACCCAATGATATAACAGGCTAAGACTAATAGAGAAGCTGGTGGGTGGTGAGGAATAAGAGTCAAAGGATTTGTATTTGACATGATAGGATAGAGCAAATAAATACAGGCTCTGAACTGGTCAGTTTGGTAACAGTTGTTAATAGAAGGAATACAGTGTGAATAAAATGAACTGTTGCAGGAGAGAAACATAGTTCCTGAAATCAAAGTGGAGAAAAAGATAAGGACAGGGTGGCAGCTTAGTAAGAAAAATCAAGGCCAGACCCTTGGCAGAGAAGCTAAGAGAAAAAAAGTCAACTGCCATTCTCAACCACTGAGGAGATCAGACAGATCCTAGAGTCCAGAGATGTCCTTAAAAAAAAATAAAAATAAGCCAGGTGTGGTGGCGCACGCCTTTGATCCCAGCACCAGACTAACAACCAATTACTCCAGAAACAACACTATGCCTCCCAGCAGAGGCAGGCGGATCCCTGTGAGTTCAAGGCCAGCCTGGTCTACGTAGTGAATTCCAGGACAGCTGGGACTATAGGGAGACCCTGTCTCAAAAAGACCAAAATAAGTAAGTAAGTAAGTAAATAAATAAATAAACAAACAAATAAATTACTGGGCCAGCGGTGCAGCTCGGTAGTAAAGCTCTTCCCCAGCATGTGATTTCCATCCTTAGGATCACCAAATATAAAACACAAAACAGAACAACAACTTGCTTAGAAAAGAAGCATACTGGAGAAATTAAATTATTGGGTTATTTCTTAGCATGTTATACTGTCCAATAAGGAATTAGCACACAACGGACAAAAAAAAAAGATCTTGGGCTAGAGAGATGTTCTCAGCAGTTGAGAACACTAGTTGTTCCTACAGAAGACCCAGGTTTGAATCCCAGCACCCACATGGCAGATAATAACTCTCTGTAACTCCAGTTCTAGGGGATCCGAAGGCCTCTTCTGTCCTCCATGGGCATTGCACGACACGGGTGCACTTACCTACATGCAGGCACTACACTCATACACATAAAAAAAATAATATTTTTTAAAAATGATCTTTTGGCCAAGTTAATTTAGAAGCAGCACTGCTCTTGTGTGTAGGCTGCTATTTGTAAATTTCATGAGTTTATTTCTAGCCTGGCTATCAAACCCTGGAGCTGTCAGTAGGAAGCCACAAGTAGTGGGGAAACCGCAGGCTCTGTGCCACACCAGGGTGTAGACAAAGAATCAATGGCTCACTTAAAATTAACCAACACTTCTGTTTTGACAGCATGGCTGTCATGCATAACTAGCAAAAACCACTTCCCATTATGCCAAGGCAGCTTGGGGTCTGTTTTCTGTGGAAGATACTAACATGATAGAACATGATAGTGCCTCATCCCTGCAGAAGGCATATTAAAGTTTGCTGTGTCAAGCAATACAAGGCGGGGGGCCATAATACTTGGTTCTCTGCAAAAACAAACATTTGGGGAACATATAGGGTACAAATGTGTGATATATAGTAAATGGCCTTTGGGAAGTTGGAAAGTGAAGAAATAGCACACCAAGGAACATCTACTTTAAGTCAGGTGGAGCTTCCAACTTAATTGCTTGACAAAAAGACCTACCTAATGCTCACTTCCCAATATAACTATCTACAAAAAAGAAGTCAGACTGTCTAGATTAAGAAACTCAGTTTGGCGGGGTGGGGGGTGGGGGCCCTGGAGAGATGACTCAGCGGTTAAGAACACTGGTTGCTCTTGCAGAGGACCCAGGTTCAACTTCCAGCATCCACATGGTGTCTAACAACCATCCATAACTTCAGTTCCAAGGGAATTTGACTTCTGACCTCTACAGGCATTATATGACACGGGTGTACATACATACACGCAGGCAATACACTCATACACATAAAATAAAAATTAAGAAAAAAATCTGAATCTAATGAAAATTATTTAAGTTCTTCAAACCTTATTCTCTAATCCTGTAAACATGGTAGCCTGATCTCATTCATGTCACTGCTGAAACACACATAAATATCCACATAAAACATAATTTTAAAAAATTTTTATTTTATATGTATGCGTGTATTGCCTGAATGTAGGTAAGTACACCCATGTTGTGCAATGCTGGTGGAGGACAGAAGAGGTTATTGGATTCCCTGGAACTGGAGTTACAGAGAGTTGTTAGCTGCCATGTGGGTGCTGGGATTCAAACCCGGGTCTTCTGCAAGAACAGCCAGTGTTCTTAACTGCTGAGCCATCTCTCCAGTCCCAAAATACACCTATGTGTATGACGCACACATTTTTTTCCCACTACATGTATCAAATATAGTACATAGAGAGAGGCTCAATACAGACCATACTTAAAATACGAAGAGAATTTACCACTAGAAACAGAAAGCCAAATAATCAGAAAATGTTGTTTTCTTTTTTATTGTTCTTTGGGGTTTAGTCCTGACAGGTTGAGCTGCTTGGTCTCTTGTTAGTCAATAGTTTAGAGGAGTTTAGAGATGCCCTTTGAAAAAAGGATGCCAATAGTGTCCTGTAAATACTTTAAAATCAACAACCAAAATTCTAAAGCCTGGGAATTAATGGATTTTCATTGACCACAAGCAGATGGCCTGACTGGGGAAGCTTCAGCAAAGAGGAGAGATGGGAAAGGACCTTTTGCAGGACTGCTGGGCCACTAGTGGCACCCTAGGGCAGAAATGTCCTACCTCCTTGTCGCTGTAAGAGATGTTTCGGATTTCATTCCATGGGAAAGAGATCTTGGGGGTCAGCCTGTTCTCAGGGTCATAGATGTGAAGCCCCAGGGCGTCCACTCCAAGCAGCAACTCTGTGCCCTTTTTATTCTGCAGAGCCAATAAAGAGCAGCCATTGTCAGCTTCCAGCTAGAGATTTTATTCAACGTTCCAAAGTATCTGGCACACACTGTTATATTTGACAAGTTTCAACAAGTCCCAACAGAAATCATAGCAGTCTTATAACCCAGGAGGCTTCCAGCTTCCAGATTTGGGGAAGGCAGAGGCAAAACAGTACCATTTTTGCGAACTGTGTATCTCCTACAAGATCACCGAGAGCTCAGGCTCCTGTCACTGGTTCAGTAGCTAAAGGAAGGGTAATTTAACAAAAATTGTTAAGACTGCTAGAAGGAAAATTTTAAGTCCTGGGACTGGATCTCAATGTAGTTTTACTATACCATTCCCCAGTATGGTACAATAATTAACTACAGCAGTTAGGTAGTGAGTTTATATGGCCATTCACTGAAAACTTAAGTTTCCCATATATTTCAAATGCTTGATAATTAAATGTTGGGGGAAAAATAAAAATAAATTATATACAAATTACACTTCAATAAAGCTATTTAAAACACCAACTAACTATAAGAATGCTATGCAACCTCTAGTAGCACTCTTGGTCAGCAGTTAGGGTAGCTAGAGGCAAGTACCTTGTGACCCACACTACAGACCCAGCTATGGACCTGCTGGCCACATTCTTACAGGAAGACCCATTTGCCAGTGCTATAGTCTGGTCTTTGTCATGGAAGGCAACTCCTTGCACACACAAGGACACCATAGCTCTTGACCCCTTGTGGACAAGAAGGAAACTGAACCAAGACTCAAGGGTAGGAAAGCAGATCTACAAAACTGAGAAGGTGCTTGGGCTGTAACAGAAGTACCAATCTGACAGCAGGTGTTAGATGGGGAGGCGAGCACTCCAAGATAAATCTCTTTACTCCCTCTAACACCTAAAGTCGGGCACTGCCACCCAGCTATGAGTGTTCTGTTTGTCTGCAAACCTTTTTTAAAACTGCCATGCTCACAGAAGTGAGGGTTATATTCTTACATCTATAGCACATTTTGGAAAATCAAATATTTCATTATGTTTCTGATGATTTAATTTAAATTATGCCTTTAATCCCAGCACTTGGGAGGCAGAGGCAGGCGGAACTTTGTGAATTCAAGGCCAGCATGGTCTACATAGTGATTTCAGGAGAGCTGGGGCTATAAGGAGACCCTGTCTCAAAAAGACAAAAAACAAAACAAAACAAAAAAACCGAAGGGAATTCTACCCTTTGTTCCTATCACGGCTGACACTGCGAGAGACTAGAGAGGAAAACACAAACAACCTCTCTGAAATTATCTTAATCACATGGCATGTTACTGATATGTACAGTTAAAATGTATTTAATTTGCCCGGTATAGTGGCCCATGCCTTTAATCCCAGGCACTTGGGAGGCAGAGGTGGACAGATCTCTGTGAGACTGAGGCCAGCCTGGTCTACAGAGAGCCCATCTCAAAAAGACCCCCCCCCCAAAATTTAATTTTCATTAAAATGTTTTAAGCATTTATCTTCCTTAGTTAATGACAGAATTTAAGATCTCTAACATAAAAGTCACTAAAATAGTCTATAACTTTGTCTATTACTCAGCATTAAAAAAAATACAAAAATCTGTTTATGTTCACCTAACTATTGTAGAAATATTCCCTAATAAGACACTGGGCTAACAAGATAGCTCAGTGAGTAAAGGCACTTGCCATGAAGCCCAGTGACCTGAGTTTAATCCCTGAATCCAGGGTAGAAGGAAGAGAACCAACTCTGGCAAGTTGCCTTCTATTTCCCTCCCAGTTAAGTAAATAAATGAACGCAAAAAAAAAAAAAAGGTAAAATAATTTTAAAAGAAACTGGTTTTTGAAGATCACAGGATGCTTGTTTTCTAGAATGTTGGTGGTTGGCAAATGGGGCAAAAGTTGAATTGTCAAAAACCACAGGTTGGTCTAACCTCAAAGAAACGGATCAGTTAGATGCAAATTAATGAAACGTTAAATTTTGAAAATATTTTATTTATTATTTTTGTATGTATGAGTATATTGCCTGCATGTGTGTAAGTGCACCTATATCACACAGTGCCTATGGAGTTCAGAAGAGGGTGTAGAGTCCCCTGGAACTGGAATTATGGGCGATTGTTAGCTGCCATGTGGATGCTGGGAATAGAACCTGGGTCCTCTTCAAGAGCAGCCAGTGCTCTTAACCACTGAACCATCTCTCCAGTCCCTGAAACTTTACTATTTTTTTCTTTAACTATTTATTTCTTTATTTATTTGTGTGATGTGCACATACACTCTGCTGCCTGTGGAAATCAGGACAATTTATAGGAGTCAGTTTTCTCCTTCTACCATGTGGATTCCAGGGATTGAACTCAGGTAGGTTGTCAGGCTTGGTGGTAAGCACCTTACCATCTGAGTCATCTCACTAGCCCTAGTGAAACTCTAAAAAATACTGGGGCTGGAGAGATGGACCAGCGGTTAAGAGCACTGGCTGTTCTTGCAGAGGACCTGGGTTCGATTCCCAGCACCTACATGGCAGCTAACAACTGTCTTAACTCCAATTCCAGGGAACTCTGACACCCTCTTCTGACCTCTGAGGGCATTGCACGACATGGGTGCACTTATTCACATGTAGTCAATACACTCATACACATTAAAAAAAAATAGTAAAAATATTTTTTAAATACCTTCTGTGTTCTTTTTTAAAAAATACTTTATTATTTTAATTTTATGTGTATGAGTGTATTGCTTGCATATATGTTAAGTATACCCATGTTGTGCAATGACCATGGAGGTAAGAAGATGGTGCCAGACTCCCCTGGAACTGGAGTTACAGACAGTTGTTAGCTGCCATGTGGGTGCTGGGAACTGAACCTGGGTATTCTCTAGCCCCCGCTTTCTGCATTCTTATAGAACATCATTTAGGCATTTGTTTACTATACCAAAACATTCAGTGTGCCTTATTTTTTTATGCAAAGAAATTCACAAAAACCTGTATTTAGGAAAGCTGTATTTAGTTGAAAGCTATCCTGGAATATTGGAGATGTGCTTCTTCAAATTACCCAAACTTAACATAAAGGTCGTAGAACCCTTTTTGGAAATCAAAGCATAACTGGAATCACAAAGGCAGATGACCACAGAAGATTGTTCAATGGTTACTCATCTGTGGCCAATCATCTTAACATCTATATATCTACCAGTGAAGAAAGGTACAACTCATGTACTCCTTTGGGAGATGTGAACACATTGCAACCAAAAGCAACCCCCCCCCGCCCCCTGACACACACAGGAAACATGCGTGCTCTAGGATCAGACCGGAGCAGAGTACAAATGTCTCTTTGCAGAAGCAATGGTTCCCAGAGGCTCAGGGACCATTAATGATCTGAATAGAAAACTAATTAGTCTCACAGTGAGAATAAAAGTTCTACCCAAACAAATCAGGAATCTATAAGAGCAGTCTTACTTTCCGTGGGCCTCAGGGAAAGACACTATTTCCAGGTGCTCCAGAATAATCAAACATTATACTGCCAGTATTCCAACAGGTTTCTTCTGAGAACAGAACCAGGCTCAAGTCTCTGAAGGAGCCACTGACACTTAATTACTTCTGATCTAATTTGAAGTCCCAAAACAGAAAACCATGCTCTAGACCCCTCTTTCTTCCTCTTCTTTACCACAGAACCATAAAAAGACTCTAACTACCCTGGGACAAATATGTAACACATTTGGCCATGCAGCCCTGGTCCAGTGTGTCTGATAGCCAGGGAACTCAGGGAGGAATCAACACACCCGAATTGCAAAGTAGTTCACACCGTACATCTCCAGGTCCTGAGCTATTTTCAAATACTCCATTTCAGCTTCATCCCTGGAAGAGAATGGAAAACACCATCACTGGGACTAAGTGAGAAGGGTGGAGGACAGACACCTGCCAAGTATTCCAAACCTGCCTCTCCTCTGGCCTTATGACACCTGCAGAATATAGGAGCCAGACCAGACATCAGGAAAGCTTTTCCCAACCCAGAGTCTATTAAACACAAGCAGAATTTCCCATCCTGTGAAAATAAGAAAACAGACTCATTACACTGTCTCTTGGCTTCAATTTCACACTCTGTCCTTGGTAAACAGTGACATCTGTCTCAAGTGATTAAAGAAAAGAATGTGGGGGCTGGGAACGGAGCTCCGTGGTACAGCTTTGCTTACCATGTGCAAAGCCCTGAGTTCCATTCCCAGCATGGCAAAAAGAAAAAGCAAAAAACATAGTATGTTATTTTCAACCCTCAAATGAGTTATTTAAATTGTTGCCCCATCTTTGTGTACTTTCTGAACCTAGGTTTTGGTGATGAACAACTTTCTTTAAAAGCTATCTGACAGCATCTACTTTCCTGATTTTATTTCTTGGGGTACTCTTGAAGGTTAAGGCAAGAACTATCCAGTCATAAAACCTAGGCCAGATCACCTACTTCTGTGTTAGAAGTCAAATTTAAAGCAAGCTCCTGAAGTAGCAATGACTTGCAGAAAACTCCCCACTAGGTAATAATATTGCAAACATTTAACTCAGCTTCCCTGTGACCTTGTGCCCCCCTCCATCTCCAAATGCTCTCAAATGGATTTTAAAAATTCACCCTGAGAGAATGCCAACTGTCGGCAAGCAGGTGGAAGAACCAGAAATCACACACACTGCTGATGTGAATTGGTTCAATTACATTGGGAAACTGTTTGACATTATTGTAACAGCAAAAACCATGAGATAGTCCAATAACCTAAATGTCCTTCAATAGTAGAATGGATAATTTGTATATATTAATATACTGGAATTCTGCACAGCCACAGAAATGAGAAAATTATTGTCACATGCCACAAACTCAAATTTTACAAAATGAAGTTGAGTAAAAACACACAGGAAAAATAGAAAGATTGTTTTTAATCTAAAGTTTAAAATGAGCAATGCTGGGCTTCAGTATAGATCAGGAATAGAATAGTTGACTAGCATGTGAGAGACCTTACATTTGATCCAACACACTGCAAAGTAATAATATAACAATAATAAGTAAAATTCAATGGGCAAAAATTGGGAAACTGGTTAACCCTGGGAAAAAAATAAGTTGAGAAGTCATGGGCTACTTCTTGCTTATCATTTTGTGATAATCAAGCAATATACTTATGATTTGTCATTTAAAAAAATTTTATATTTATTTTACGTGTATGAGTGTATTGCCTGCATGTATGTGGGTACACCTGTGTCGTGCAATGCCACGGAGGTTGGAAGAGGGCGTCGGATTCCCCTGGAGCTGGAGTTAAGGACAGTTCATAGCTGCCATGTGGGTGCTGGAATTGAATCCAGGTTCTCTGCAAGAGCAGTCAGTGCCCTTAACTGCTGAGCCATCTCTCCAGCCCCTGATCTGTCATTTTTTTATGGTATGCATGTTAACTTCTAAAAAAAGATGTGGTTGGAAGATGATTTGACGAACAGGAAAAAATTAAGGCGGATGCAAAGATGATCAACATCTAAAGTTATCAGTGGGATACTAATAACAAGGTATGAATTTTCATATTTTAGTTATCCTTTGACCACCAACTCTCTTCTAAGAATCTACCCTCAGACTTACTTGTGCAATTGTGTGACAATATGAGACTAGGCACTGGTAGAACTTTCCATAAAAGTAAAAAAGCATACAGATATTCTAAATGTCATTAATACAGAACTGAAAAAAACAATGGTTTCTTCAGACAATAGAATTCCTAATGTTAAGCTAAACTGCCACTGAACATACATGTTTTGTACATCTTGGTAGGCAGAGCACATGGTCACTTTAAAAATTAACTTTATGGTGGCCTGGAGAGATGGATCAGCAGTTAAGAGCACTGGCTGCTCTTGCAGAGGATCCGGGTTCAATTCCTAGCACCCACATGGTAGCTAAAAAAAAGTCCTTAACTCCAGTTCTAGTGGAATTAGATGCCCTCTTCTGACCTCTGTGGGCACTGCATGATACAAATGCACTTAGACATGTGCAGGCAATACACTCATAAACACAATACACTCATACACATAAAAATAAATTTAAAAAAATATTTTTTAAAATTAACTTTATGAATTTGAGAGTGAACCCAGGGTTTTGCAAATGCTAGGCAAGTGCTCTACCACTGAGCACTTCCCTGGCCTATTGAATGTTCATTTTATAGCAATGCACTGAAAAAAGGATGTGCACATGAAACTGAAGACCAACATCACTCCCAGCTCTCTTTTCCTTTTATATACTTCAGGAATGCATTTTGGTCAACAAGCATGTCTTAGTTTTGTAGTTCTTTAAGGGGATGGGGGAGGTCATAAAGAAATGTATAAACCAAGGATGAAGCAGCCTCACCTGGCTCGGCCTCGGTGCTCCGCATACCAAGCAGTAATTCTCTCCTCCCACATTTCCGGAGTCATCTGATATAGATTTATTACCTACCAAAAAGAGCAAAAGAAAAAACCCACATGCAAAGAATGTCTGGGTATTGTTTGCCATTTTTATAATTATAGATCATTTTTACAAAATAGCAAAGCTATTTTTAAAAAGCATGCAGAGAGAGTCACAAGTAGAGGTGGGTATATAAACAAGATCCTCCATTTCCTTGGAGGATCAACCTGCAAGCTGCAGAATTCCTCAGACCTAGCTATACTCCTGGGCTAGTGGTGCCCCCTCTTCCTGCCTGGACTGTGTATTTGAGGACCACTTCTGGCAGTGGAGCAATGTTCACTCACTTTCAGCTTTCGCCTACACAGAAGTCATCAAAGCAAAGATAAAGGCAGGAAGGGTGAGGAGTGGTCTTTATTACCCAGTGACAGATGATCAGGGCTGTAAGATGGGAAGCACCCAAAGGGAGTGAGGCCCTGCTTCTGTGGTTAATGCATAAGATGAACAAGGCTGAAGATTAAAAGCCACAAGGTCCTCCACAACCTCATATTCTCTTCCACCCCAAAGAGCTTAATTTCCCATGCTGAACACACACAGATCTCATACCTCGCTTGAATCAATGCCACTCAACCACCTTTAGAAACTGCCACATAAAAGCTGAGCATACTGGTGCAGGTCTTTAATCCCAGCACTTGGGAGGCAGAAACAGGTGGACCTTTGTGACATTAAGGCCAGCCTGGTCTACATAGCAAGTTCCAGGCCAGCTGTCAAAAAGATAAAAAGAAAAAGAAAAAGAGAAAAGAATTGCCACATATCAGAGAAATATTTACAGGCCATACTTTTCCTGGCAGCTCAGCATTAATTCCACAAACCTTTGCTGTTTTTAGATACAGCCTCACTCTGTAGCCCAGACTGGCCTCTGCCTCCTGAAAACTGGGATTACAGATGTATACAACCATGCCCAGTGGAACCTTTTTAAAAATATGCTTAAGAGAGAAAGCTGAGTGCAGTGGTACATATCTGTAATCACAATTTCAGGAGACTGAGGCAACAAAAGTCTGTCTCAAAAAATAATAATACGGGCTCGAGAGAAGGCTTAGTAGGTAAAAATGCTTGCTTTACAAGCATGAGGACTTGAGTTTGAATCTCCAGCACCCATATAAAAAGTCAGGCATTGCTGTACACATGCATTAGGGGACAGAGATAAGCAGATCCTGAAACTCACTATCCAGCCAGCCTAACCTAAATGGCAAGCTTCAGGTTCAGTGAGAGACCTTGTCTCAAAGCAGCAAGGTGGCGAATAAGAGAGGAAGACACCTGAAGTCCTGTTCTGGACAATGCATGTGTGTGAGAATGCACATACCTTCACTCACTGGCATGCACAAAGCACTACACATACACACTGGTTAAATAAGCAAATATGTTTAACTAAGATTCCATACTTTTTACTCAAGATTATGAACTATTTATGAAAATGTGCTTGCCATGTATTTCCAACATTCCTTCAAGTCCTTCAGTGGCTTTCCTCTACTCACTATTTCCCAAATAGGAAACTTGATTTCTTACCCTTTTTGGAAGCAATTCCTCTTGGGCCAAAAATCCCCGCTTGTGCACAGAGGGATCATAGTCACCATACTGGAAGAAGAAGAAAAGAGAGCAGGTGATTGAAATTCTAAGGACTACTGCTATTTCTGAACAAGGCTCAACTTAGTTGGTACCTCCTCTTCCCAACTCCAGGGAGCAATTCAATTCTGATGACAAGTCAAGATTTCAACCATGCCAGTTTGTTATCCTTGAATGAAAATATAAAGTTGATTATATCTATGAGCACAATTACAAAATCCCATAAGGGATGGATGGGTGATGTGCTAGTAAGAATGTGACATTTGTATGGAAATACAGTGTTTTCTAGCCCTCAAAGAAAGCAGTCACTTCCAAAACATTAGCTTTCGAATGGAAACAACAAAACACAACTGTGAAGTTGTGATTAGAAAAGTGTGATAAGAGTCTTACCTACAAATGTCTCTAAATGGCTGATAATTGGAAGCAATTGCTAGGTGGGACTGGATAACTATGTAAGCAATATTTTTAATACCTTTTGCTCAAGGCACTAAAAATTGCTTTGGAAAGATCTGATATCAACACTCATTCCTACTACATAAAGAAACAAGTAAAAGGTTAACTGATACAACAAAAGCTACAGAGCAAGTCACTAGTGGGGCTGGAAATGAGCCCTGTAATTTAATATATTCCCCTAGAGACAACGTTTATTCTCTGATTTAAAAAACAAACAAACAAAAAAAAACTTTCTTAGAAAACTTAAGTCTGGCCAGAGGATCATCCAAAAACAAAGAATAGAGATGGAATGGGGCTCAGTGGCAAAGCACTTGCCTAGTATAAGGTCCTGGGTTCAACCCGTAGCATCAGGTCTAAAAAGAGACTTGTGGACCAGGTGTGGTGGTATACAACATTAGTCCCAGCACTCAGGAGGCAGAGGCAGCTGTGAGTTTAAAACCAGTATGGTCTACATAGTAAGTTCCGGGCCAGTCAGTGCTACATGGTAAGACCCTGTCTCAAAAAGAAAAGCAAAGAAGTCTAATACAGGGGAGCTATCCAAGGACCAGCATTCAGCAGACCTTTGATCTCTACACTTTGGCCATTTGTGACCTTTTGTGTTCCTGGCCCTCTGCTGCATAAGAAAGCTTCATTAATGAGAACTGAGAGATTCATTAGTATCCTCTTCTTTATCCCTGTTCTGTTTCATGACCCTTAGGTGTAGAGGTTGCATTGTAAACGTGTCACTTAGGCCTAAGCAATTCATAGACAATGTCCATGTATGACCAGTATATTAAACTTCACCCTCCCAAGGCTCAGGGACCATCGTGGAAGAGGGGGGGGAAGATTGTATATGTACAACCATATGGAAACAGAGTCCTACAAGTGCCTGGAAACCTGCTCATATGGTTCTATGGCAATGGTGTCAGCATACACAAGTCCCATGCACTCTCAACAGACAAAAACCCAGCATAGAACTGGGAAAATGAACAGCAGACCCCAATCTTATCTGAAGAAATATTGGCAACTGATTGCTGCTAGGTGAAGAAGAGCTGATCTTCTTAAAACAAGGGACTCTAGATAGGCTGACTAGACCACAGTGGATGGACTTGCACTGGGGAATGTCTGGGGACAGTGACTTGACACAGTGGGCTATAACAGGGATGACAGAATATATGGACTCCAGTTGGGGGGGGCGCTATAGGAGGGTGCAAGTGCGGATGGGGGTATAAAGATGATTAAGATTGTTTTGTGTATGAAATACACAAAAATTCAATAGGAACAAATTTTTAAAAATATTTTATTATTTTTTATTTTATGTGTATGCATGTATTGCCTGCATGTAGGTAAGTGCACCCATGTCGTGCAATGCCCACGGAGGACAGAAGAACTGGAGCTATGGTCAGTTGTTAGCTGCCATGTGGGTGCTGGGATTCAAACACAGGTCTTCTGCAAGAACAACCTTTTTAAAAAAAGAAAAGAGGGGGCTGGAGAGATGGCTCAGCAGTGAAGAACACTGGTTGTTCTTGCAGAAGACCCGGATTTGAATCCCAGCACCCAAATGGCAGTTAACAACTGTTGGTAACCCAGTCCCAGGGGATCTAACAGCTTCTTTTGACCTCGGAGGGCAGTGCACGACACGGGTGCACTTACCTACATGCACATAAAATAAAAATAATAAAATTTAAATAATAAATTATTTTTACACATACACATAAAATAAAAATAATAAAATTTTAAAAAGGAGAAGGGGGGAGGGGGGAGAGACACCGAGTAGAATATAAAATCAAAGACTGTTTCTTATCAGTCAGCATTCTGTGGTATCTGTCTTTTACAGTTATTTGTTGGGGAGGGACGTGCCATAGCAAACGTGTGTGTGTGGAGAACAGAAAACAACTTTCAGGATCCTTCTATCATGTGGGTTCCAGGAATTGAACTCATTGGGCCTTTCAGGCTTGGCAGTAAGTGCTTTTATACCCACTAACCATCTTGTTCGAGCCATCCTGACCCAAAACAAGGCTTAGTTCTAGCCACCAATACTAGTAAAATGAAAGGTCAGGCACAAAGCTGCTGGTCTTATGTCTCACCAAATTGAATCAGGATGCTGCCTCTGCCTCCCAAGTGCTGGGACCCAAAGTGTGCATCACCATGCCCAGCAAACAAAGGGGTTTTATTTAGTCAAAAAGAAGAATAGGGGCTGGAGAGATGGCTCAGTGGTTAAGAACACTAACTGTTCTTGCAGAAGACCCGGGTTTGAATCCCAGCACCCACATGGCAGCTAACTGTCCGTAACTCCAGTTCCAGGGGATCCGACAGCCTCTTCTGTCTTCCGTGGGCACTGCACGACATGGGTGTACTTACCTACATGCAGGCAATACATGCATACACATAAAATAAAAATAATAAATAAAATATTTGCCAGGCGTGGTAGCACACGCCTTTAATTCCAGCACCTGGGAGGCAAAGGCAAGTGGATCTCTTGTGAGTTCAAGGCCAGCTTGGTCTACATAATGAGTTCCAGGACAGCTGGGGCTACAGGGAGACCCTGTCTCAAAAAGACCCAAAAAAAGAATAAAATTATGTTGTTTGCAGGAAAACGGACTGAACTACAGATCATGTTAAGCAAAATAAACTAGACTCAGAAAGAGAAACAACACCTTTTCTCTCATGAGAAATCTAGATTTAAACACACACATACATACTATATCTATACACACATGTAAATGTGTATGTATATATTATATATGACATGAAAGCAGAAAGGGTCTATTTGAGAAGAGGACAGGAACAAGTTGGGGTGGGATAAGACAAAAGAAGAAAATGAAGGGCAAATCTGTTCAAAGTACATGATATACATGTCTGAAATATCATATTGAACCCTATTATTTTGTTTTTGTTGTTGTTAACATGGGGGGAGTGTTGGTACACATATGCCACTGCACATGTATGAAGGTTAGAGGGCAACTTGTAGGAGTCAGTTTTCTCCTTCCACCACATGGGTCCTGGGAATTGAACCCAGGAGATCAGACTTCGTGGTAAGCACCTTTACCCACTGAGTCATCTTGCTAATAAAAAAACTAAAGGCACAACAACTTTAAATAATGTCTTATTTTTCATAACACCCTGACAGTAATATTCTTAAAAGTTTAATAATTCAGGGGCTGGAGAGATGGCTCAGTGTAAGAGAACTAGCTGCTCTTGCAGAGGACTCAGGGTTCGATTCCCAGCACCCACATGGCAGCTAACAACCATCCTAATTCCAGTTCTAGGGGATCTGACACCTTTTTCTGACCTCCGTGAACACTGCACAACATGGGTGCACTTACACACATCCAGGCAAAACACTCATACACATAAAATAAAAATAAATAAAATATAATAAATTTTTAAAAAATTTAATAATTAGATGACTTAGGAAATAAAAGCACTTGTTGCTCTTGTAGAAAACCTAAGGTCAATTCCTAACATCTACAAGGCAGCTCAAAACCATCTGTAACTCCAGTTCCAGGGAAGCTAACACCCTCTTCTGGCCTCTGCCAGCACCAGGCATGCATTTGGTACACATACATACAACATGTAAACAAAATACTCATAAATATATATATAATAAAAATAAATAATGCAAAAATTTCATTTCATGATTATCTTACAACAGAACTGCATTGAATTGTTTTTTGAGTGGTAAAGGAATTAATTTGTCAAATTTACAACACTTTCATATTTTCATTCATTCATTCATTCATTTATTTATTTATTATTTATATTTTGTCTTTTTGAGACAGGGTCTCCCTGTAGCCCCAGCTGTCCCGGAACTCATTATGTAGACCAGGATGGCCTCGAACTCACCAGGAGGCCTGCCTCTGCCTCCCAAGTGCTGGGATTAAAGGCCTGTGTCACCATGCCTGGCTCATTTATTTTTGACATGGAGTCTCATGAGGCTTAGGCTGGCTTTGAATGTCTGCTTCCCAAGTGCTAAGATTATAGGCCTGTGCTGCCATGCCCAGTTTAAAATTTTTTAAATATGCCATATTTTTTCTAAACATGTCTACAGATTTTTTTTTAATTGAAAAAATTTATAGTTGGGCGTGGTGGTGCATGCCTTTAATCCCAGCACTTGGGAGGCAGAGGCAGGCGGATCTCTGTGAGCTCAAGGCCAGCCTGGTCTACATAGTAAGTTCCAGGACAGCTGGGGCTACAGGGAGACCCTGTCTCAAAAAGACCAAAAAAAAAAAAAAAAATTATGAATGTTCTGCCTGTGTGTAGGTAAGTGCACCCATGTCATGCAATACCTGCAGAGGCCAGAAAAGGGTATCAGATTCCCTGTAGTTATAGATAGTTGCTACCTACTATGAAGGTGCTGAGAACCAAACCTGGGTCCTCTGGAAGAGTAATCAGTGCTCTTAACTGGGAGTTGAGGATGTGGTTCAGTGGTAGGGCACTTGCCTGGCATGCCCAAGACTCTTAGATCAATCTCTAATACTCAGGAAGAAATAAAACTAGAGGGAACCTGTTTCTCCTTACTTCTGGGAGGTCCGGAGATGAAGCTTTAACTGTATGAAGGTTTGCCAAGCATTCTGGAG